ATAGTATATTATTGTATATTATAGTAGCCACGACTCCAGGAGTGAAGAAGTACAAGCTGGCCTTGGCTGTCAGGTGCTCAAGGGACTCTGACACAGACTGCCCGATACTGTTGATGGACAAAATCCTGCATGACCCAAGTATAGTATAGTACCATAAATCCCATAGTTTAGGTATATAGGGTCATGCAGGATTTTGTCCATCAGCCGTACCTCCGGGACCTTGGGACCTGGCTTAGCCTAGGTGTACGATCGACTGTCAGCAGACGGCCTTCAACCTTCCGCGGTCCAGCTTGCATGTCAGATGACATTGTGCTTTTATGCTATGTTATATAGTACTAGACTATACTGAACTAGTTCGTGGGCACACTCACATTCTCTTGATGCCCGTGGCAGGTCACGCTGAGCTGTCTCATCAACTTCGCTGTTGAGGCAGGTTGAGAGGAGTAGCAGCTTGGCGGGGGCAACTCCATCCACTGTTTTATGAATGCCAGAGACGACAAGCCCGAGTAGTACCTTCGGAGAAGAGCCCTAAACCCTAAGAGCCCGAAAGATCCTTTACAGAACCCTGCTATTGTGGCGGTCAGGTGGGTGAGCTCAACAGGGCCATCCAGTTCTTTAAGGGTGCCGGGCTTGGCTCCCTGATCATGTCTACTTCCCACGCCGCAGAGCTTCTGTTGAGTGACCATCTTGGCAGCCATAATCGTATATTGCAGTAAATAATAGTATACTTAGGAACACTATACTATACTATAGTAGACTATAGTATATTATAGCAAAGAATAAGGAATGCCAGATTTTGATTTCCGAGCTTGTGCTGAGTTCTCTCGACGGTGAGCACGCCGTCAATCCGGGCGTGCTCCGAGTGGATTGCTACAAGGGCCTTCGGCCCGGCTTGACCACAATGGCATCCAGCGGTTTTTGGCCTCCAGGTACATGACCGTGCTGCGTGTTCACAGCATGCGCCAGGCATGTGTGCACGATTCCTGCGCAATCCTGACGCAAGTAGCCTGGTGGAAACAGGACTGGCCTGCAACGCTTTGGACTATCCGAGACATGAGACGTGCGTCCCTCAGAAGATTCCTTGATTGGACGGCAGAGACTAGCGAGCTTTCTGCACGTCGGTTGCCACAGCGCAGAGATGACCTTTAAAGCGTTTCAGAGATAACGGTTATGTCGGCTGAACTCTTTCAGGGTTGGAGTGCAGAGCATGTGCTTGCGCGCTCGTAGCAGGTCGTGGCGTGGAGGTGGATACGTTGGCCATGAATGTGGCCCTAAGCACTGGCGTCGTTGCGGACCACATCGAGGACGGACGTTGGGGTCAACTTCAAACTGCAGAACCCTGCTTTCTGCCACAGGAGGTGGAGGCCTTGCTGGCAGAGGCCCGAAACATGTTATGCCATTCGCACCGTTTTTCTCTGGATTCTTTCCGAAGTTGCCTGTGATTGATGCTGCCTGCTGCGTGCATGAATTTTCAGCCGCGACGATGGATGAGCATGAGTACCGTCTGGCAATGGCCCGTCGTAGGGCCCTGCCCTCCTCCAGTTACTCCGACAGCAAGCAGCTTCTTGTATGACAGGCTCCAAGCGTGGACATCGTGTCGCAGGGAACTTAGCGAGTTTGTCCTACGATGCGATTCTTGACACTTGCTCCGGAAGGGTGAGCCCAGCTCCCAGCCAGCGACGTACGCAAGCGTGGCAATCAAGCCTTACAGTAGGGTGTAAGGTTTTACCTCCTGAGCTTGTTATGGCGTGTGAGGTACAACACCCTGGTGAAAGGCTATGCCCAGCGCAGCGATCTGGACAAAGCCCAGCAGGCAGTCATGCAACAATTTGCATAGCCATTGCGCGAGCGACATGGAAGTCAGCTGGCATATATTACTATGTTCATGTCCGACAAGTTGCCACATGAGAATGCAGCAAAAATGTGCAATCCTTGTCTGGGAGACACCTACCTTCTACAGCCCTCATTTTATATATGACATACGGCTGATGGACAAAATCCTGCATGACCTTATATACCTAAACTATGGGGCTTATGGTACTATACTATATTTGGGTCATGCAGGATTTTGTCCATCAACAGTATTCAGAGGTGTTGGCCAAATTGCTGGAACGGGGACTGCGGCCAGGAGCTCAGGCCGTTTGCTCTTGCCGCTCCTGTCTGGTCTTTATGACAGCTCGAGGCCTAATGCCATCACCTTCAACACAGTGATGGTGCTGTCCTGAGCCGTCCTTCATTGTCGCTTGTATATGTCTATTTATGGTGTATTTGTTTATGAACAATTGTTTATGATTTTATGATATATATATATACACATGCAAACACATAGCTTACATTAGCTTACGGTGTTTCATTGGCGGAGCTGGCGACTTGGCCAGGATGCCGCTGTACGCAGCGGAGAAATCTGCCAAGCGCAGCCACCTGAGTCAGCAAGTGCTCTGCCTTGTTGGTGAGCCTCCCTGTCGGCTCGGCGATGAGCCGAGCGATACGAAGACCCAAGGTGGCAACTCTTCGACAGCATGTCCGGAAGGGGCCTTCGGCCAGATCGGTTGGGTTCTCACGCAATTCGGCAACTTCCTGTGGTCGGCCTCCACTTCACAAGAAGACGAGTTCTGAGTTGAGGTTCACTTGCTCCATCCTCGTTAAGGGCTTGACGAAGCGTCCGACAGCCCGATTCCTCAGAGAAAGCCCTGAGCTTGAGAGCCAGCCAGCATTTCTTCAACGCGGCTTTCTTGTCTTTCAGTGCCCGTCGCTTCGGTGCAGAAGCCTGAGGTGTGCACGTATAGGTATATACATACATTTATTTGTGGTGTATTTACTTATGAAATATAAATGAATAAATAAATAGATAAATAAACAAATAAATAAATATAAATAAATAAATAGATAATATATATATATATATACAGATATGCATATATATATATAAGCACACATAGTACAAGCCGCAGTGACTGTCTGATACTCGTAGATTCCTCGCCGATCGTCGCCGCAGCAGCTGGATGCCCCTAGGAGACGCACATCAAGAGATCGCTGACCTTGCTTCGCCAGGCCGGGTTTAGGGCTTAGGGCCTATAGGGTTTAGGCGCCCCAGCAAGGGTTCCTTGGGGGCTTTCATAAGGGCTACTAGAAGGGTTTAGGGTTTAGGGGCCTTATAATAGGTAGCATAGGGTTTTTGGGGCCCAGTATACTAAGAAGGAACCCCGCAAAAATAATGTAGGTAGTTGTTCAGGCCCGAAAAATTCCTTTGGGAAACAGGAACCACAGTCTCTGGTGTTGGGAATTTAGGGAATGCAGGGTTTGCATAGGGTCTTGGAATCAGTGGTTTAGGGTTTAGGGCAGTTGTATGTTTGGGAATGGGAGATGGGATGGTCAGGTGGCTCCTCTTTGTGTCGTGGCCTGAGCACCCGCAGTGCCCTCTTGCAGCTCCGACGGCCTCTTCTTCAGGACAAGACCTTCCTGAGCGGCGTGTTCCAGTCCATCTTCGACGCTTGTCAGGACCTGCTTCCTGAAACCTCCGGTGCTTCAGAGGCGAGAACTTTGAATCAGCATCTGCAGGCTCTAGATGAGGACCTGCAGCTCGCCAAGCAGGCGCAACAAGATTTCCTTTCTGCACCTTGCTATAGGGATGTTAGTTCGTGGTACGAGTATGTGCGGGTGCCTGCTGTCGAGTCGACACCAGCCGTCTGCATGACGCGACAGTAGGATCCTTCTTGGGCTGGGGACGACCCGCAGTAGGTCTTCGCCGAAATGCGGCGCCTGGAGGTGCGACAGTCGGAAATGGTCGACTCCTGTCCGGTCAAGAAATGTCAAGGGCAAATGCAGTAGAACAGAGTAGAGGAAAGCATCCCGGCAAGCTGTGTCTTGTGTTCCGCAGCAACGACTCGGCCGAAAGCCAAGCGATGGAATGCAGCACAGCATGCCCTTCGAAGTTGCTGGTGCTCACCTGGATGGCAAAGCGGCAGTGAGCCCATCTGCTGCTGCGCAGCAGCAGACGTGACGTTGCTCGTCTGACAGTCGTGGATAGGTAAGGCAACCTTCAGCAGTCGGTCTAAGCTACCACTGTTGTCTCTCTCCAGAGGCTAGCTGGCTGTGTTCTTCCTGCATGGTCGGAGCAGCAGAACCTGCGACAGCTTTCCTGCGGGTCAGGCGCAGACGCAGCTTCTGTAGCCGATGGATGGATCCTCACTATCAGCTCTTCTTCCTTGGTCCTAGACGTGCTACGCGAAAAGCCGTCAGAGTCCTGATGTTTCATCTCGCGGAACTCCCGCCGGGTAGTGGTAGCTACAGGGTAGACGACTGCTGTCCTCCAAGTGCCGCAGGGAAGGTGGAAGAGCGGTATTCTATTGTCTCATATTGAATAAATTTTGGCATGCCATGCTATATTCTGTTTTGGTCGCTTGTATTATATATATATATATATTGTCGTAGATATGGTAGACATATTAGACATATAACATATGGTGATCATCTTCGTACTTGCAGTTCGGCCTGCAGGAGTTCGCACACTGCGCAGAGGTCAGTCTGGCAGCCGCAGGCGTGATGCACATCTGATACTCATCATCCTGTTGAGTCGTACGGAATCATGCGCGCATGTCAGCACGGCCGTACCTTTTCCAGATTTCTAATCCCGCAGCATTTACCGGATATCTATCGGAGGATGTTCAGAATATGTGGAAGAAGCCGTAAGGGGAAGGATCACTCGCAACCCGTAGCAGGGAAGCATCCAGCTTTTGGGGGCGGCACGGACAGTAAAAAATGGTCGCAACAACGAGCTTGTCTGGGGGTCTTTCTAGGACATTTGACTCTCTGCACGTGCACGGTATGGCATCATGCCGTTTATCTGTGGGTGCATGGGCCAGGGCTTTCCTCCAGAACCTGCTTCAAAGCCGCCCCTCTGTGACACGGGGACTCTTGCCGCTTGCCGTTGGCCTGAGACCCTGAACCCTAAACCCTAAACCCTGTTCCGGAAATCAAACTCATCGAATAAGTGCACACACTGGTAGGCGGCCCCCGAGACTTGCAAACAACACCATGCCTGCTCATGCGTAAGCCTTAGCCTATGCCTTAGACATCCCGAGCCTCCGCAGATGAGGCATATGCTATCCTATCATATACTGTAGGATCATCTACTTCGCGAAAATGTCCTACAAATTCCTCAACTCTAAGCCTTACGGTGTGCTCTTAGACTCTTCGGGGTGTGGGCAGGCTACAAGCACGAAAGGCACGGCTGCACCGACCGGGAGGCAGGAAGACCTGACAACCATATTCAAAGATCGCCGGCACCCCTTCAAGGTGAGGGGGGATCTAAGTGATTATGATTGGAACTCTCCAGCATCAGCACTTGGTGTGAAATCGGGCCGTGTTTGCTTTTGAGGGTTGAAGTGATTCGTATCTGCATTTCAATTTTTGAGAGACGTAAGCCACAGCCGCAGTCATCAGCATCATAAGCGGGCAAACCAGAGCACAATACTGCGGCACCAGGCAAACATGAAGGGCCTTAACGGCAAGTGTCGATAGGTCCGCAGGTCTTGATGCCTCATTGTCCTCATTGCCAGAATGCTGATCCCGGGGAGACATGAACATAAACGAACCACAAGGCTAAACCTACAAATCCGAGGCCCTGGCCATAATTATTTTGGGGGTAGATTTCTTGAACATGGGTTCGAGTTGCTGGAGTTGAGTAATAACATATAAAAACTTTGGTTCGGGTAGCTTGCATGACGCTTTGCTTGCAGGGTGCTCTCCCGCCTGCCTCGTCGAGCCGTCGACACTGAGACAATCCCGGCAGAGGCACATCTGTAGGTATTACTAGTTTGTTGTTTTTGTCACTATTATCATTGTTCTTCTTATTATTATGGTAACAACAACTATTGTTACAATTATTATCATCGGCTTTGTTATGACGAGGATGCTTTGGGGCCTGCACCTACGAGCACAGCGACGTCGAGTGAATTTGTTAGTTTGTTCGAACGCAAGTGCTGTTCTGAACGTTCGCATGGCGTTACTAAACGCGTGCACCAGTTGTTACACATTGTGATTATGCATGTTCTAGGTTGGATCTCTAACCTCCAATCTGGCGGACATGCTTCAGCCTGAACGTGGGGCCCCACAAGCTGAGCCAACAAGAAGACCTATGATGCCCTGTGGTGAGCATGAAAGCTTGACAGGCTGTTCCATGGCTGCTTCTCTTGGTTGCTGTGGGGCTGCCCTTAACCTTCCTGGAGAGTGCGCGAGCATTCCCTGCAGCCTGACCAGAAATCCGGCAGAAAGCTCTTTGTTTGGCCTTGCATGCGTCTCTGATGTTGTAGCTCTTGTAAGGACGTCAGTTCTGGTGTGGCATCGCACAGATGTTGTGCTTTTCCGCGGGAGTGCCCGTGTCCTCAAGCCCCAAACCCCTAATCCCAGTTCGAACGCTCCGAGGTAGGACTCCTTAAGTTCTTCGGCACGCTCTTCGGCAGGACAGCGAGAACTTGGGCTTTGGGTTTAAGTGGAGGCTTTGAGCTCTCAAGATCCACCCCGAGTTTCAAGCGAGGACGCCCCGACGGCAAGCTGCGCGCCCCAAAGCGGTCCCGGTGCAGGCTCGTGTCACGGTTCTTTGGGGCACGGTGCCTGTTCAGAGACGGAGAGCAGTTTCTGAAGAAGTGATTCTGCTGATTTCTGCTGTGGTCGTGTGGCATGCAAGCATGGGGTGCGATGTGCATGTCAGGAGAAAGCTCCATCCGAAGATCTGTCAGTAGCCAAGGACGTGCTTCCCGTGCCATTGACACTGGTCGTTCTTGTTCTCCAAAATCTGTTCCGGCAGGTGAGTTCGGAAGCGCCAGCGTCGTGGCAGGACCACCAGTGATAACGGTACTGCAGCTTTTGGCCCTTGTGGTTGCGACATGTGCCAGGACCTGCTCAAGTCAATCGCCCAGCTGGAAGAGCAGATTCAGATGGCATCGGCAGGCGGCGCATGAGCCAGCAGTCGAACCAGCATGATCACAAGCATAAACTCGCAGGGCAAGAGGCGGCTCCTTCAGCCCTGCCATGCACGGTGTCGCTACCAAGACCTTGTCAGGCGATCTCCAGGAGAGAGAGTATGCGCAAAGTGTGGAAGAAGTGGCTCGCAGCGCTCAGCGGCTGGAGAGCGATGTCATGGAGAACCCTGCTGCCTGGAACCTTGACCTGGAGGTACAGTGACTGAACATCGTCGGATTCGTTGGAGTGACTGTGATGTCATATGGCTAGCATTTGCGCTCTGGAGACGTGCTGTCATCCGAAATTGAGGGCATTGTTCCAGCTGATCGTGTGTGTGTGTGTGTGGGGAACC